AGATTTATTATAATTTTTAAATAAAAAATAATTATTTTAATAAATATAAATAAATTTCAATTATTAAAAGTGAAAAGATAAATGGTTGAGATTTTATATAAATGTAATGTGTAAGATTTATACATGAGTGGATCTCTATTATTTTAATAAATATAAATAAATTTCAATTATTAAAAGTGAAAAGATAAATAATTGAGATTTTATATAAGTGTAATGTGTAAGATTTATACATGAGTGGATTTCTAAAAGTCATGATAAATTTAAAAATTTTATATAAATATAATATATAAAATTTATTTGTAAATAAATTTAATTTATATACAATAATTATAAAAAGTAACTACAAATTAGTGTTGTTAAAATATATTTAATTAGAGAAAAATAATGAGAAGGGGAGAAATAGTTTTTTAAACCACTCAAATAATAAGATTTGCAAAAAATACAATTTAAAAAATTTATCCTTCCTTCTCACCCTCCTTCCTGTTAAACCCAATATGGTATTATTACATTAAATTTAAACGTCGGTAAACTACATAAATAGTCATTGACCTTTATCATAACTTTCAGTTTGGTCGCTCTCCTTTTAAATTTATAAATGCAGTCACTGATCTTGGTTTTAACATGCTTCGTTAATCACCCTTCGTTATATACCCAAACGCTGTTAAGTGAGATGACGAATTGACTTGGACCAAGAAAAAATTGATGACTTTCGTGCTTTCACTTTTGTTTAGCCATAGTTAGATTAGAGTATAGATTTGTTATGCAAGTTACACACCAACTATTTAATACTTTGTTAACACTTATTTTTATTCCTAGAACAATAAATAAGGTTGTAGATTGATTAGAGAGATATTTTTATATGATAAATATCAAGTATAGTTACATATATGATTATCAAAATTATAAAATATTATTTTTAAAATATGATTTTGTTTAATTTAACTCATAAAAATGACTAATAATAGTAACTATTACCTAATAATTAATAGAACAATTAATATTTATTAGTTAATAAATTAAAATTAATAAACAAATTGATATTTTTAAATATTGTTTTAAAAACACTAAAATTTTAGTGATCTTAACAATATTGACAATAATCATGCCTATAGACATTCTTATTAAATCTATAGAAGACCTAAACACCTAACAAAGAAGATACTATGTATTAACTCTTTGCATCAGTAATAAAACAAAATAAAATATGTTGCTTCAAGTTTAATCATATATCCATAAGGATTGGGATTAAATTATGAATTTTTTTAATTAACCTGTTTAAGTGCTCATACATGTAACTCATTTTTATTTTTTGTCTATTTATTTTTTTGATAAATTAATTTTTATAATTAAATGAAATTCATGTTTTATAAGTTAGATTACGTACATTTATTGAAATATTTTTAATGAACTTATCTTTTTTTTGTTTATTAAATATCTTTAATAAAATTATTCATTGAATTTTTACTTAGCCCACATCCTCTTGTCACCTCACCTAACAGCATTTGGGGAGATAATCTAACAGCATTTGGGGAGATAATCTAACGGCATTTAGGGAGATAACGTGAACCAATTGACTGGGCATGTTAAAAGTTAAAACAAAAGTGAGTGACTAAATTTACAAATGAAAAAGGAGAGTGGTTAAATTGAAAGTTATGATAAAGGTCACGTCCTCTTGTCACCTCACCTAACAGCATTTGGGTAGATAATCTAACGGCATTTAGGGAGATGTCGTGAACCGATTAACTGGGCATGTTAAAACAAAAGTGAGTGACTAAATTTACAAATGTAAAAAGAGAGTGGCTAAATTGAAAGTTATGATAAAGCTCAGTGACCATTTGTATAGTTTACCCTTTAAACTAACACCTTTTATTTATTAGCAAAAAGATTGGTGAACAAGGGGAAACAAACCCTTATCTTTGACACTGTGAGCAAAAAAAAAAAAAAAAGAGAGAGAAAGAAAGAAAAGAAAAGTAAAAACCTCAATCGCAGAGTAGAGATTAATAGATTGGTAATTTAAGGTTATGTGTGCGGACAATATATTATATATATTTGTTTTAAGGGAAATGATGTAATTATAATGTATACAATTATAATACATTATTTTATAATTTTTTTTGGTTGTAATCCACTCTTGATATAATTTATTTGTAATATTATATGTATTGATTTATTAAATAATATATTATAATAATAAATTTATAATTTTATATAATATTATAATTTTTTAACTTGTGTCTTTCTAATACAAGTTAAGTAT